GTGGAAACGGTAGAACACCTTCTCTGCTTCTGCCCAGCCCTATGCAGACTCAGACTGAAACACTTAGAAAGCCCCTTCATTGACGATCTTACCGAAATATCGGAGATTAATCTCAAAAGCATAAGTGCCTTTATTAAATCTTCCGGGTGGAAGACATGCTGATCAGCTTAATATAGGCTGAAACTACTAGAAACGGGACCCTAGAGAAGGAAGAAACGAGATCATGCGGTATCACAACGGACCCATTGAGGTCTAAGTGTGTCGGACTATAGTCCGACAACCGCCCTAACCTAACCTAACCCAACATAACCCATGAGCTAGGGAAAAGGATCTGCACAGAGATTACATGGTATCACAAGGGGCTCAGTGTGGCCTAAGTGGGGGGATTAGTTGTCTAGTCTCCAGCCATACCTACCTAACCTAACCCATTCTGTCTTTTTTTATAAAACTTAACTTTAACTTAACTTAACTTTAGAAAATCAAAAAAATCTTAAGCTGCACAAGAGCACAAGAATCTACATGCCAAGTCCCATCTTTCTCACTTTAATAGTTCCCAAGATCTCCGCGTTCATACGGACGGACAGGCAGAAGGTCATGGCTAGATCGACTCCGCTTGTGATCCTGATCAAGAATTTATACGCTTTATAGGAAAACGCTTACTCTACGAGTAACGGGTATAAAACATTGTACCTTGTAGTAATATTGTGTCTCTAAGCAAAAGAAAACAATTTTATCAATCTAGACATTTTCACAACAAAATCACAAACGCAAATCGACATTCTTCGAAAATCTTCATAAAATTCAAAACAAAATTATATTCTTTGGAAATGTTTTTTTTTTTCTGCGCATTATACGTGTGTTTTGAAGGCTTATAGCCGCAGGTGTGGGTTCAGCACTTCTTTTTTTCCTAACTTCTTAATATCTTAATTTTGATAAACATTTTCATTTATTTTTAAATTACTGTTACAACAATTTTTAACCACATAAAATATTTATTGTTATCACGATATTTATATTAATCAAGAGATATTCACATCCAAAATTCAATGGACAAATAGGGAGAATAACTAGAAGAAAGCCAGATCATTTAAATAAATATTAGAATAAAACTAGAACCCAAGAAAACAAAATGTGAAAAGACTTTGTATGCCGCCTCGCGTACTGTATCCGTGCTGCAGCTAGTAGAGTGGTTGACTGCAAACCATGAGGCAAGTGGTTCGACTACGCTGAAGATGTGGTTCTCAAAATAGTAAGTTATTTTGTTTTTATATTTATGATTTGTAATTTATAGATTAATTTCAGTTATTATTTCAGTTATAATTTTAAGTGTGTGTTTACATACATAATATACGTGTTTAAGTACAGGACAAAAAAAAAGTTGACAAATGGGAGATCCAACAAGAACATCACCGGCAGGGCTCACATAATCTATAAACAACTCGAATAACTCCGATTCGCAGATTGATTTGTATTTTCTTCTTGTTATCATTTAAAAGTAACGCGACTTTTAAAAATAAGAATATAAGAAAAATTTAAAGGTTGCATTACTTTTTCTGTTTTTTAGAAAGAGCGCCATTGGTTTAAAAAATATACTTTGTTTAATACAGTGTAAGTCGTCATTGAAGCAAACTATCTTCTTTGTATATTACTGACCGAAAAAAAACCAAAAACCAATAAAAACTATACACAAATTTAATTCAAAAACAAAAGAGAACGCTAAAGTCCAGTGTCTCGACTATTATATACCCGTTACACAGAACTTAAATTTAAAATTGATAAAAGTTAATTTACTTTTAGACCGCTTTAAAATTGCCAAACATCGCATTGTGCACACGGACAAGAGTTTCGTAATGCGAGAGTTAGTTGTAGACCAGTGGTCGACAGCGGCCTATCTAGTGAGCATAGGGAAGTGTTCTGCCCATCCTCTGCTCGCTCACGTATAACGTACATGTTCGTTTGACTTCGGCATGGGTCTTCGGGTCATTTTTTTCTCAACTTCGGGGCGCTTTTTTGTTGCTGCGGCAGAGGATCTCAGTGCAAAGCAGAGAAACGTCTCGCTTCAGCACGCCGCGCGCAAACTTCGTGCTTGTTACACTCACACTAATGCAAGGCAAACTTGTGATGGTATGTGTGTGCCGACCACTGTTGTAGACCAAAGACATAACAGAAAGATCTACAGCGCTGTGAAGTTTTTACCCACCAATTTTACTCTCACGGATTTTCTGCCTTTTCAGTGCCTTCTAGTGCTTTTCAACACTAAAAACATGTGAATGCACTGCAGGTCAGTGTTGAAAGGGAAAATGCAAGGATCGAAAATACAGCTTCCCTACCCATACCAACAATTAAACTATACGTTAACCCAATCGAAATTAAAAAAGACAGCTATAAGTAAAACAGAAAAACAGACATGATTAGATCGACTTGATGATTAAGAAATATATTATACTCTTTTACTCTACGAGTAATGTTGCATGAATCAAAACACACAAGTGAAACGATGTTCAATGTTGAGCATAAATATTTGAAGTACCGTCGTGTTCTAAGAAATATAATTAAAAATGGTTTTTCATTACTTGAAATTAGCAAAACTTGCATGTAAAGTTAAGTTATTTTGCTCTGAGATAATACCTTACCCATCGAAACCCCATTTGAAACCATCAATAGTATTGATAGTGCTAACGATCGTTTTAACAGCCCTAAAATGCAGTTGCGGCTAGATGGCACTTTAAAAGGGCTGTGGATATTTTAATACCCGTTACTCGTACAGGAATAGAGTTAAATATAAAATCGTTTAAATTATACAATAAGTTCATAAGTAATGATTTTAAGCCCATATCTAGCAAGAACATCGTTTGTGACGTCACAGCCCGTACATAAAAGTGTAAAAATGTTAAGTATACGCCTCGTACGCCGCGAGCTAACCATAGGAGTAAGCGAGAGGCAAACAGGCGGCTAAAGGTTTTCGTCGGGTCTGTTTTTGAGCGCGGTACTCAGATGAGCTAAGGAAATACCAGACAAAATACCAGATTTCGCGAGTGAATTTTCGATGAACGCCGTTAGCCGCGGCCCACAGAATAACAAATTTAATCTTTGGCGTGCTCGTGCAAAGGCGATGTGGAAACTAAATATTAAAAATGAAAGGAAAACCTCAAAATAGGATGCAGGAGGTCAGTGCAGATGAAATAGAACGCCTAATCCAAGCTGTTGCCCTTTATTGTGGGATTTCACCGACAGGAAGCAAAACAACAGGGGCAAATCCGCAGAATAGTTGAAGTGCTGGAGGAGATCCACTAGAGAATCCCAGTGGGAAGGAATATGCCGAGTGGGACTTGGCTCTCTACATGGACATCCTGCCGGGCGTCTCCTCGCAAAGAAAGTGATCTCCGACGACCTCTCCATTAGTACTCCGTACACCACCACCACCAGCTACTTGGCAGCTTAGGCGGAGCTGAAAGACCCGCTGGCTTCTATAGGGAGGAGGAAAATGGAGCGCCCGCTAAGGAACAGTTGAAGAAGCCTTAGCCAGCCACTGCCAGGATGCTGGGCGACTTCCTGCAGCATCAGCGGATCAACCCCGTTCCTAATCCGGCTCCCACTTCCTCAAGGTCCAATATGCCTATTGGGACTCGGAGCTGAACTGCGGTGGAGTGGGAAAGACGGCGCAGCATCCGTGGGACGAGAAGGAAGCTTTAAACTACTAATTTAGATAAATAAAAACATTCGTTGAACATTCCATTTATTATACCCGTTACTCGTAGAGTAAAAGGGTATACTAAATTCGTCGGAAAGTATGTAACAGGCAGAAGGAAGCGTTTCCGACACACAAAGTATATATATTCTTGATCAGCATCACTAGACGAGTCGATCTAGCTATGTCCGTCTGTCCGTCCGATTCTCCGCAGTCAAGTCTGTCAGTTTTAAAGCTATCGGGCTGAAACTTTCCCAAAAGTCTTCTTCATTTTGCAGGTAGTATTTAAGTCGGAACCAGCCGGATCGGAATAATTGTAATACAAATTTAAAACAAGAAAGGAAGTTAACTTCGGCATGCCGATGTTTGTATACCCTAGCAGTTATAGAAAACATTCAATGTTAGTGGCACCATGTTAAATTTTTAAAGATTTTTGCTAGCTTCAGTGATATATGTGAAAATTTCAAATATTCTATTTCCCAGAGTAAAAGAATATACAATCAATATCAATAAAGCAACATTTTTTTAAATACAGTTTTCATTATATCTCTGACCGTTTCTTTAACAGCTATATGTTAGAGTCGTCCGAATTATACTAAATTTAATTCGAAATTCCTATAAATACAAAAAACTTATGTTCCCAATAGTATTAGATAAAATGAACTAATAAGAACTAATTAAAAAATGATATTTCCAAGCGTAGGAGGTTATATGTTAAAAAACACCAAAGATATAGTCAACAAAAATTTTTTTTTACTATTTCTATGGGATCTATAAGATATGAACGACCGGACAATTGGTGGAAAAATAATATGAAAGTATTTTTGACATATTATCTAATACTATTGGGAATATCATTAATTGTATTCTTAAGAATTTTGAATTAAATTTAATAATTATAACTGCAAGGGTATACAAGTTTCGGTTTGCCGAAGTTGACTTCCTCATTTGTTTAACATATAACCTCCTACTCCTAAAAATAACATATTTTGTATTACTTTTGAATTTTGAGTGTATTCATCGGACGACTATATCATATAGCTGCCATAGGAACGATCGGAAAATTGGTGGAGAAATAATATGAAACAAATTATACCTTCGGTGTTTTTCAACATATTATCTTATACTATTAGGATTATAATTTTTTGTAATTTTAAGAATTTCGATAGTATTTGAATTTTTTTTAAAATGACTTCTTAAATACTTATCTTAATGGTACCAAGACAGTTATTTTTAAAATATCTTTCGAAATATTAAAAACATAATCACGAAAAAGTTTTGTCTTTCGCCCAAAAAATGATATTAAACTTACGCTCATTTTGTCGGGTGTAAGTGCTTAAGTTTTAAACTTAATATGTTTTTACTCGAAAATATTTCCAACAGTAGGTTAGCAACACAGATGCAAAACAAGTTGATGATTTTTGTTCCCAACTTGTCTACTTGCTTTGCAATTAAAAAATGTTGTTAGGTGTCAACTGATCGCTTTGTTAAATAAGAACTTATTGTCACGATTAAACCGAAAAATTAACATTGTCTTAACAGAAAAAAAAATTATGTGAGTTGGTTGCATCCTAGCATTAAAAATATTTCGAAAACTATACACGCTGCTTGCGCTGCAACTATTTTCGCTGAAACAAGAACAACTACTTGAACAAAATTTAAAAGCAACCATAAATATTTCGTATGATATGCAACTCAAAGATAATTTTGTTCACAAGCCAAAAAAATAATCACCAATTTATTTTTAGATATACAATAATTTACACATATCTTTATATTTATAAACCAAACATTACACGAAATCTTGGAACGCATTATAAAGATCCGCATATAGATATGTATAGTCTTTCTATTCATATGTTCTCTCTATTCGTATGCGCTTTCTATTCTGTGGCAGCTAAGTCCATTCATACCGTATTGATGTGAGCACTGTTATTGAAATCTTATATAAAAGCCATAATCCACAGTTAAAGAGAATATCAGCAAAAATCTCAAAGCTCATATGTAGCGTAGAGTTTAAGGGTACATTGTAATCGTTGAAAAGTGTGATCAGGACGAGTCGATCTGTTCGATTTGTCAATTTGTCCGTGTAAACACAGCTACTTTAAAAACTTTAAGAGCTAGAGAGTTCAGAGTTAACATGCTTATTCCTTAGCTTCCGATTTAGCTCAATTATGACAATGTGTCATGCCTACAAACGCACAAAATGTAAATATTTTATACTTATGCCTACAAGTCCCATGTTTTCTTTTTTTCGAGTGCCACGACCACTCTAACGCCCACAAACTCCCTTAATACTAACGCCTGTCTGGCGCGCATTAGAAAAGATTCAACATCTCGACAAGGGTCGGACCGTTGCTAAAAATGTTATGGACGATTAATGTAACAGCCACTAAATTGAGCTTGGTTGCATATCTTTTCTCCTTCGCAGTTTGACACAAGCTAGTTTACGTTAAGATGACCGCTTTAAAACTATAAGAATCATAATTTCCCAAGAAATCGCATTGGGTGCATCGAAGACTAAAGACATAACAGAATAATTTACAGCACTGTTAAGTTTTTACCGACCATTTTTACTTGCGCGGATATGCGGTCATTTTATCATTCGATAATTTTTTTACCTTTAATCTAAATACTTACATTGGTAGTTCAATGAAATATTGGGTTGAATGGCTTTGTTGAAAAGATCACATAAATACACATTTTATAGTCTGGCTTTGACGTCATTGCTTTACCTAACTTCTTGGGCGGTTTGTGGGCGTGGAAAAGTTTTTTTCTTGACACCAATAGAGTTATGCTAAAATAAATAAATATAGACTTACAGCGCTGTAAATTTTTACCAGCAAATTTTACGTGCTAGGACTTTCGGAATTTCCTTTTACTGCCTTCTAGTGCCATTCAACACTGAAAACATGTGAATGCACTGCAGGTCAGTGTGGAGAGAGAAAATGCAAAGAGCGAAAAGCTTATGTTATTCATTATTTATTAGAATAAGTTAGCCGCGCACTCTGCTTTCTCTTAGCACTGACAGCGTTTTTCGCTAAAACTTTTCTGCACCTGCTTAGGTTTCAGGCAGCGCCTAGGTGGAGAGAGCAATAAGTAATAATATGCTAACAACATTTATGTTAATCTATTTTTTCTAAACATAAACTCTCACAAAAGAAAATATAATAAGTTTAATTGGTAGAGAACAGAGTGAGAGAGAGAGAGGGTCAATCAATATGTATTGATTAAAACAATACATATCTGTTAAAATTGTTGTTCTAGAATTAAAACTGTAGACGCAACAGTTGTGGGCGGCTTGTGGGCGCTAGGGTGGGCGTGGCAAAATCTGCATACCTACTCCCAACTTGCTAACTTTAATCGTTTCTGTAATCACAGCGTTCATACGGACAGACAGACAGACGGACAGGTAGCCAGACAGACTTTCATGGCTATATCGACTTCCTTGAGTAGAAGTAAATATCTCAAATGTTATAAGTTTGTAAATATTAAAAAAATATTTTTTTGATCATTCCAATGGGAGCCACATAGTTGTCCAATACTCATCGTTCCGACGTATATACTACATGCAATACAAATTGGACCTTTGGGAAGGTTTCATCGCGATAGCTTTAAAAATAACGGACGGACTTGGCTAGATCGACTCGTCTAGTTATACCCATCCAGAATTTATACTTAATGGGCTCTTCACTGCGTTGCAAGCTCCTGACTGGAATTAGTTTACCGTCTGCAAGGGTATACAAATTACTTAATAAAAGTGGAGATCAAATTGTCCTACTAGAACGCAAACCAGATTCTTATAAGCGGAGAGAAGAAAAAGAGAACGGAAACCTAATTCTTAGAAAAAGCTAAACATATCTTGATGAACTAAGCCCAATATAAGAGGTTGTCGAATATTTAAAAAAATATAACGTCGATGATAGTTTATTTCAATGAAAAGTCGATTCAGGGCTGCATTTGTATACCCTTGCACAGGGTATTATGATTTCAGTCAGAAGTTTGCAGTGCAGTGAAGGAGACGTTTCCGACCCCATAAAGTATATATATTCTTGATCAGCATCACTAGACAAGTCGATCTAGCCATGTCCGTCTGTCCGTCTGTCCGTCCGCTTCTACGCAAACTAGTCTCTCAGTTTTAAAGCTATCGGGCTGAAACTTTCCCAAAAGTCTTTTTTCATTTGCAGGCATTATATAAGTCGGAACCAGACGGATCGGACAACTATATCTTACAGCTTCCATAGGAACAATCGTAAAAAAAAATTTAAAATAATTATATCTTTGGTGTTTTTAAACGTATAACCTCCTACGCTTGGAAATAACATTTTTTAATTAGTTCTGAATTTCGAATTTAATTTTATTAAAATCGGACGACTATATCTATTAGCTGCCATAGGAATGATCGATAAATTGGTGGGAAAATAATATGAAACAAATTATAGCTTCGGTATGGCTCAAGCTCATTAACATTGTCGCCTATGTGAACCGATTTATTCAACGGACACGAAGGCTATTATGCGACAAGTCCACAGACAAGTACACTTGGCGAGATTAAGGTAGCAATGCTTCTGTGTATGAAAGAGGCCCAAGGGTGTTTCCAAAAGGACTACCAATTGCTGCTTGCTAAGAAACCCCAAAGGAACTGATAGTAGCTGGTCAAACTAGCGCCAATGATCAACGAAAACGATTGGCTAAGGGAAATCGGAAGACTGCACCAATCGCAATTATAAAGGGAGGCAAAACACCCAGTTTTGCTAACAAAAAATCATCAAATCTCGAAGCTTATCCTGAAGCACGAGCATCAAGTGAACCTTCACAGTGGCGTTTCCTTCGTTTTCGTAATAGTTTAGCAGAGATTCTGGATGATTGGAGCACGTAATCTCATTCGCAGATTAACACACGACTTTTTACCCTGCTCTCGTCAACGCTACCACATATCCCAGCAACAATTTGCAGATTTACCCAGCGTACGTGTCACTCAACCCCTTCCATTTGGTAATGGAAGGAGGATGCCAAAGTTCGGAGGACACGTATTAGCATGGTCTGTCTGTCTGCATGGTCACATCGGCCTCAAGCTTGCCACAGACCTAACAGCGCAAACCTTCTTGGCTGCCTTGCGGCGCTTCATATTCCCTCGTAGCAAGTGTAACATTTCAAGATCTTTAGTGACAATGGAACAAACTTCATTGGAGCTAAAAGGTCCCTCAACGAAATGCATGAATTTCTTTCATCTCGACAACACAAATACATCGTCACATAAAACCTGTCGGACGACGGAATTCAATGGGAACTTGTTCCTCGGAGAGCTGGTCATTCGGGAGGGAAATGGGTGTAGGCAGTTCGTTGTGTCAACTGTCACCTTCGAAAAGATGCGCACCTTTCTTGCTCAAATTAACGTAGTGATAAATCTACGCACTCTTTGCTAGGCACTGGATACCAAAACCAACTACTTATCACCAACCCCTTCTTAGTTGGGCCACTGTTAGCCACCGTGCCAGATCCCAGGCTGAGCCACATTCCTGTTGGTGGAAGATGGCATTGGCAAAGCATGCAGGCTTTGCTCCAAGGATTGTGGAATAAATGGCATCATCAGTATCTAACCGCTCTGCAACAAAGTCCAAAATTGACCATTTCAGCACCAAACCTCTCGATCGGTGACTTCGATCTTGTTAAGTAGTCCAACAGGCACTTTGGCACATTGCATGGGTTTCGGAAACCTATCCAGGGAAGACATCCTCTTTCGAACAGTCACATTGAAGACATTAATAGGAGTAATGATCAGACCAATCACGAAGGTTGCAGTTTTTCCCAATTCAGAAACTGTATTTCAGGGTGGGTTGGGATGTTCATGAACGGTTGCAGTCTTTATTAACCTATTATCTTTAGGCGCATAATGTCATCTCTGTCCCATATTTTCTAAACATTGTAAAAGAAAAGCGACACATATAGATGCGCGGTTTTTTAGTTAATTGTTTAAGTACTTGAGTTTATTTGTTGGTCAGATTAGGTTGAATATAATAAGTAGAAATGAACATTTGGTAAGTACAAATTTCACTCGTCTCTGTCGTCTATTGGCCAACGTCCTACGACCGTACTCTTCAAAGTCCGGAATTCAACTCCCGCTCCGTTTCTCGTCATCTTTTCGTCTTCTCGTCGTTCGTATTTCATCGCTCTTTCTTCTCGTCTTTCTTCCTTTCTCCTTGATATCGTCTATCCTTGCATTTCGTAGTTGGTCTCGTTAAGCACAAAAAGGTTGTTGTCTAGGGTAAACTTATTGTGGACATTGGTTGCTTCTTCAATGCAGACACACCCCACATTCGGTCATCCTGCTATGCTTCCGCCTCGAATGCATCTTCGCCTTCATCAGGTGTTGACCAGCGCTACTCAGCACAAGTCGAAGAATTAATAGGACCATACAAATTGTCAATCTTCTGGACATTGTACGAGTTATTATCCTTTGGATTTGACAACCTTGTACGGACTTAAGAATTTAGGTTTCAATTTCAGGCCGCTGTGCCCTTTTAATTTGGACAACTTCACCAACATAATACTGATTGGCTTGCTTGTGACGCAAGTTTTTGT